AAATATATTGTAACTAAAAACAGGAATAAAAATTCTAAAAGTTTCATTAATATTAATATATCCACCACTGATCCAAGTAAAAAAATAAAATTAATTATATACTATAATAACTTTTGTACAACCAACCTAGTCATGCATAACAACACTTCTCTGTCAACTAGAGACTTACAAAAGACCAATATCGTATATCAATTAAAATGTTCTTTGGGAAAATGCATCCTATATAAAAATGTTAGCAAGTATGTTCGTTTTACAACAATGACAATGATGAGAAGGATTACGCTTCACTTGAACGATCATAGTTCAATCTCAGAATATTTAAAGGAACCCTCACTTCCACATTCACTGTTTAGACAGATATTAGTCGAAATACATCTGTTTTTCATCAAGATAATAACAATAAAAAACTTAAAATAATGGAAATTCTTTATATAAGAGAACTGCGTCCAAAAATAAAGCCAACGATGGATATAGCAACAAACTCCAAAATGTTTGCAGAGCAAATTGTTATATAAAAATACTATATTAATATATTAGGTTGAATTTGCAAAAATAATGACGTAATAATGTCGTTTTTTGGACGTATTTTTTAACGTAAAAAACGACATTATTACGTCATTATTTTTGCACCAACCTAATACTAAAATTAAAAAATGTCTTTAAAAATAAACAAATAAGTTACCTTCCTTACATAGAGGAAAATATTTTGAATTTAAAGTGTTAACCTATGACACATATATAGCAAGCCCTGAAGATGGTCTCAGATGAGATTTTATGTACTTGGGAAAATAAGAATTATTATTTATTAATATCTTTTTCTCTGTATCGCTATGTAAAATGAGACAGACAGATAATTTCACATATTTTATGTCATCCTGGTTTGAAGTATATGAAAAATAATAATTTTTCCCACCCACGACAAGGAACGTATAATAGCTACATCCAGTGTAACCCAATTAGACAGTTTGACCTTCCTTTCGTCTGTATTAAACTACGTGCTTGTCACTGTGTCGCCTACACAGAAAGAGAAAGACGTTAATCGGCACAACATTGTGTAATATGGAAACGTTGATGACAGAGGATGATCGTCCTTGGAACGATAATTACATTGTTTACGATGTCCAAATAACAATAGTTTAAAGATATACAACGCTTTGGTGATTTTAGAAGCATCTATATAAATTTCTGTTCTTGTTAGTCTTAAATTAGTAGCTACAAGTCCACCGACATTTTTGAGCCGAGAGATATACACTTCTACAAAAACCGATGATTAAAATTGATAATATATTGAGAACTGAGTCTAAATGAGATCGCCACGGATTTTGTGTAAACGCACACTGATACAAATATACACACATATGTATATATATATATATGCCTGTAATTTATATATATTAACTGAATTAAAAATATGGTTTCATCGCAACACAGGAATTACCATGTTTCAAAAACATAAACTAAAAACTTCAAATTCAATTATATAATTAAATTAAAAGCATTCGTTCTGTTTCATCTTCAAGCGAATTATGAAATAACTTATTTTTTCTAAAAAAGAAAAAAAAAGAAAAAAAAAAGTTATTCCATAATTTGCCTTTGCACAAAGTCAATATCTTATCCTCGTCTCCAAAATGTAACCTAGAAAAGTTTAGGGAATGAGGAATAACAAAAACGGAGTTTGGAAATGAAATGGTAATCTTTATATTATCAACAAAATACAATATTCGCCAGCGGCGTGAAGTACCCCCACTTAAAATAGAGTCCAACGTTTTTATGAGGATTGGACTTTGTTAGTATTTATGTGTTTTTTTTTTTATTTCTCCTGCTTATAGTTAGAATTCATTTGATTACGGTATAGCAATTTGATATATTTAGAGTTATGTAGAGTGATTTGATAATGTATTGGACTCATTTTTATTTATGTTCATATTCTTAATAGCCCATCTAATTTGTTCATCAACAATGTAATTAGGAAGATCATTATTAATGAAGGTTGTTTAATATTTTTTAAATATTAAACAAGGCCTCATTAATAATGACTTTTAATTAATTTCTAAATTATTTCCCTCCGCCTCTCCTGTCTTCTTATTTTTTTCCTCATTCATACAAACATAAAATAAAAGCTGGCCACTCGTATTCGAGGATACCCGTCTACTAGGGCGGCTAGCTAATCCCTATTGCAGACGCTCGCTCAGGCATGAGTTGTTTAATATTTAAAAAATATTAAACAAGGCTTGTTTAATATTTGAGGGTTGTTTAAGATTTGAGGGTTGTTTAATATTTTAAAAATATTAAACAAAGCCTCATTAATAATGACTATTTAAATCACCTTTGTCGCCATATTTATCACAACGTTTTGGCCGTTGTACGATTCGGCCTTCTTCAGGTGGTTGGAATATCGAACTAGTTCTAGTTCCACGTTTAATGGATGTAAGTTATCAGTTATCTCCTGTTAATTTCCCTCTGAAAGTTCTCCACTGCCTTAACCGGGTATTGAACTCACACTCTTTGGGTCCTGTCACTGGATCTAACCAACGCCTTTATCGACTGTGCCATGTGTCCTTGAAAAGTTTACATGGTACAGAAATATAGACAGACTATTAATTAATTTCTAAATTATTTAACCATACCTTTTTTAATGAAAATATTCCGCCTAAACACACACACACACATATTTATTTATTTATATGACATGAATCATTCATACAAAAAAGCAGATTAGTGAAGTTAATGATATAAATGGCGAGAATACATCTTCACAAACAAATTTATTAAAATTACATTAACCCACGAACCTCTAGATGAATGTTGTGATCCATATTTCTAATAAATTCAACTTGTATAAGGTCTTTTTTTGAAGTGCAGTTGAAATGCACTGAAACCAAGTTGCATCATTGTAGTGAGTAAAATGGTTTTGTCTATATGATAAAATTATAATAAATAAATAATTATCGCTCTACTATAGGTATCGAGCCCTCTTTTGGATTAATGCTGTGAACGTTGGAACTTATATTTTACTTTCGTTCTCATCTCATCGGATATATATATATATATATATATATATATATATATATATATTATAATTTTATCATATAGACAAAACCATTTTACACACTACAAAAAATGCAAAACCATTTTCGTTTCTCACCCGTCGAAGTGCAGTTGAAATGCACTGAAACGAAGTTGCATCTTTGTAGTGAGTAAAAATGGTTTTGTCTATATGATAAAATTCTAATAAATAATTATCACTCTACTATCGGTATCGAGCCTCTTTTGGATTAATGCTGTGAACGTTGTAATTTATATATTACTTTCGTTCTCATCGCATCGGATATATATATATATATATATATATATATATATATATATATGTATATATATATATATATGTATTTATGAATAAAAAATGACAATAGGAAAACTGGTAATTGATTTGACGCGTTTCGTCCAATATGGATTTATCAAATGTTATTTTTCAGCAAAATACGAAAATAAAATTAAATGAACAAAGTTACTAATAAAAACAAAAACAGAATGTACCATTTTTTAACTGAAATTTTTTAATTTAATTTGACAATCTCTGACGTTATTTTTCAGTTAAAAAATTTGGAAAAAAATAGCGACAATGTTTTCTCTACATTTTCCAGTTGCTTTTTATAGGTACATTCTGTTTTTGTTTTATTAGTTACTATATTTTGTTCATTTAATTAGCGATTCGTATTTTTTTTTGATAAAATCCATTGGAGTTTAAAAACTTATAATTTATTTATTAACTATAATTTTTTACAAGAAATGGATATTAGAGGAAAAATGCTCCAGAAGGAAAAAAAAATGAAGGAAAAAAAGCAATGGCCTTGCGGATTAATCCTGCCAAATGTATTTCGTCTCCTGGTAGTTCTTAGTTCAATTCCTGGTTTTGATAATACCCAACTCTCTCATATTCTTATTCTCTATAAGAATAGAGGTAGAAAGCGTTCTTTGCAACTGTGCCTCCGGTCAGCATGAATGTAAGCGCTTTCTTGGAGACAGGCATAGTCTTAGGTCTACCGTGACTCGTTCCTGTCGTGACTCAATGACTGGGCGTGTAGATGCGTCGCTTTGACTTCTCAAAATCTTGCTGACTTTGATGCAACGTCCTTCAACCACCTTTCTCTCTTGTGACATCAGCTTTGATTGGAACTACAGTATCCCTTTCTAATCTAAAGTGTTATTGAAAAGTAAATCCCTATTTTAAAATATTTATTTAATATCTATAACTTTTACAAGAAATGAATATGAAAGAAAAGCGTTTAACATTAGGTTTTATTTAAAATACGATTTCGCTACTAGCTTCTCCAGTCGCCTAGGAAAATTGTCAAGTGAATTCACCAGAAACTCTTGTGGTATGCAAGAACTAATTTATTGTATTTGCCATTCAAGATCTCTCCAAAGTCTTGGTTTTTGTCCCCACACGCTAGTGGTCGCCGATGTCAATGCCATGGCACAGCTGGCGGGCCGCCGATGGCAACGCCAGCGGTTCTCTGGTGACAGTCACAGGCGTGCTACCGTGGAACTAGAACAGTCTACCCCAGTGAGCAAAATAAATGGTTCAGTACGACATTCCATCCACCTGAAGGAGGCCGAAGCGTACAACGGACGAAACGTTGTGATAAGTATGACAACAAAGATGAGGACACTAGTCTGAATAATGTAAATAGTGTACAATCAGAAATATAGACAGATACAGTTTGATTTGTTTTTTTTTACGGTTTACCAACCGTTTGGATGAATATTTAAAGCCAGAAATATTTTTAAATTGTAAGAATAGGAGGAGGGTGTAATCATAATAAAGACTTAGTGATATAACTAACACTAAAAAAACATAGCTGTAGAAAAGGTTGATTCATAACTTTGCCGAAGGTATTTGCTCGTAACGGAATTTTACGAACCTGACCGGAATTGAAAATCGGCTCTCCGATTAAAAATTCCGAGTCAGTATCAGTTACACCATCCGGACATCCAAGCTTACAGCACCTGGTATTCCCAAATTCTCACCCATATAAATACTGATCAGGCTCGGTATTGCTTAACTTCGGTGTTTGTATGGGAAACAATACTTTAACGTGATAGGGGCGTGAGCAAAATTGAAAGGAAATAGAGACATACTTAACATCAGAATGTGAAAGTTGATATTCCTTATCGGTCACCCAAATACCTACTAACCAGGGTCAACGTGGTTTAACTTCGGTGATCATACGTGAACCAGTGGTTCAACGTGAGCTGACCGTAAGCCGGTAACATATTTATTCTTTATGATATTTTTTCTTTTACAGTTTAATTTTTTTCTTCTTCTTCTTCTTCTTCTTCTTACTGTTGTTCTTCATTTTCTTCTTTTTCTATTTGTTGTTCTTATTTCTTCTTCTTCTTCTTCTTCCTGTTCTTTTCGTCTTAACTCTCTTCTTTTTCTTCTTTTTCTTCTCTTCTTCTTGTTCTGCTTTTTCTTCTCTTCTTCTTTTTCTCCTTCTTGTTCTTTTTTCTTCTTCTTCATGTTCTTTTTTCTTCTTTTTCTTCATTTTATTCTCTTCTTTTTCTTCTTCTTTTTCTTGTTCTTATTTTGTCTTTTTCTTCTCTTCTTCTTTTTCTTCTTTTACTTCTCTTCTTCTTTTTCCTCCTCTTCTTTTTCTTGTTCTTATTTTGTCTTCTTTTTCTTCTCTTCTTCTTTTTCTTCTGCTTATTGTTCTTCTTTTTCTTCTTTTTTTCTCTTCTCTTTTTCATCTTCTTGTTCTTATTTTGTCTTCTTTTTCTTCTTCTTCTTTTTCTTCTTCTTCTTCTTCTTTTTTCTTCTCTTCTTTTTTCTTCTCTTCTTTTTTCTTCTCTTCTTTTTCTTCTTCTCCTTCTTCTTTTTCTTGTTCTTCTTTTTTTCTTTTTCTACCTTTCCTTCTCTTATTCTTTTTCTTGTTCTTCTTTTTCTTCTTTTTTTCTCTTCTCTTTTTCATCTTCTTGTTCTTATTTTGTCTTCTTTTTCTTCTTCTTCTTCTTCTTTTTTCTTCTCTTCTTTTTTCTTCTCTTCTTTTTTCTTCTCTTCTTTTTTCTTCTCTTCTTTTTCTTCTTCTCCTTCTTCTTTTTCTTGTTCTTCTTTTTTTCTTTTTCTACCTTTCCTTCTCTTATTCTTTTTCTTGTTCTTCTTTTTCTTCTTCTTTTTTCTTCTTGTTCTTCGTCTTCTTCTTTACTATCATGTATTTTACTTCTCTTCTTTCTACTTCATAATTATTTTTACGCTTGTTCTTCGTAGTTCTCTTTTTCTTTTTCCTTTTCTTCTTCTTCCTTTCCTTCTTTTTCATCTTCTGATTTATATTTCTTTCTTTTTCTTTACTATTATCCATTTTACTACTCTTCTTCCTTCTTCACCTTCTTTCTTTCTTCATTATCATAGACTTCACAATGTTCTTCTTCTTCCTCTTCTTCTTCTTCTGGCTCCTCTTATTCTTCTTTCTTCCTCCTCCTCCTCTTCTCCTCCTCCTCCTATTCTTCTTCTCCTCCTCCTCCTCCTTCTTCTTCTTCTTCTTTCCACGTACTTTTAGATTGTCATTTTCTTCATCGCTATTAGTAACTTTTATTAATTCTTCATAATGACCCCTCCTTTTTCATCAACCTACTCTCCTTCATTTTCTTCTTCTTCATCATCATGATCATCATCATGATCATTACGTTCTTATTCATCATCATCATCATCAACATCATCATCATCATCGTTTTACTCTCTGTACCAATTTTCTTCCTCTCATTGTTAATTTTACTTCAAATTCCTATATGCATTCTATTCTATTCCGATCACCTTATCGTCCTCTACTCCTTCCATTGTCAATCTACTGCGAAGCATCACGCCATTATTCTCAGTATTATTTATAATAATAATAATAATAATAATAATAATAATAATAATAATCTATTTAAAATTATGACTTCTCTCACTCATTTAAATTCTCTTTGCCAAAATATTTACTTTCTGGCATTTATTTCTGAGATCATTAAACAACAAAGAAAGGAAGAAAAAAAAACCCTGACATTTCAAGACTTCTGTTTCTTTTCTTTTCGTCCTTTTCAACTCCCAACTTTTTCAGTAGACTCAGCGCGTAAACACTCATAAAATGGTCACTTAAAAGCCCCAGCAACGCCGGCCGAGCGTGTCTGCGCGTGCGCGAAGCCAACCAATGAAGCGTGTCGTTCGCTCACTTGCCCAGAACGATCGCGAACTGTTCACTTTGCTGAGCACAGCGTCGCCGATTGTGCCCAAGCGATTGGTAAAGCAGCAGAGCGTGTCTGTGACGCGTAATTTATGTTTTATTTTTTTCTTTGCCCCTTCTTGTATGCAATGGTTTGGGTGGTAAGGGCCGGGTCAATAGACTAGGGAGGAGACGAGGAGGGTACGGAGAAGTTGTGGCTGCCCGAGAAAAGGTAAGAAAGGAATTCTATTTGTTTGTGATGGAGATTCAGATTTGACGATGTTTTTTATAGTAGAAAATT